TCCATATTGTACACATACTATATAATTTACTATACAAAGTAACTGCACTGAATCCTGAATTTAAAATTGAGCTGATGAACTAATACCACATGGTCTGTAGCAACCACATTATTCCTCCAAAACTGAGAACCTGCTGGGCCATGCTCCAGTAATCAAGTGCATCAGTTAGTGTGACATACTGATGACTTTGCAAATATCTTTAATATCTGGGTCAAAGTAAGAGGTGTATAAATGAATGTAAAACTTAATAAAAACATCATTTATGTCTGCAGAATTAAGGCGTGTATTCTTGATCAAGTGGAAAGTGTCCAACAATAATAAAGGCATAATGTATTCTGTTGTTGCAGCACGGTGGCACGGTGGTTAGCACTGTTGCCGCACAGCAAGAAGGTCCTGAGTTCAATTCCACCATCAGGCCGGGGTCTTTCTGTGTGGAGTTTGCATGTTCTCCCCGTGTTTGCGTGGGTTCCCTCCGGGTACTCCGGCTTCCTCCCACCGTCCAAAGACATGTAGCTTGTGGGGATAGGTTAATTGGATAATCCAAATTGTCACTAGGTGTGAATGTGCGAATGAATGTGAGTGTGAATGGTTGTCTGTCCCTGTGTGTTGGCCCTGCGACAGACTGGCGACCTGTCCAGGGTGTACCCCGCCTCTTGCCCTATGACAGCTGGGATAGGCTCCCGCGACCCTGAAAAGGATAAGCGGAAGCAAATGGATGGATGGATGTATTCTGTTGTGTTATTTTATTAGCAGAAAGGTCAGATCTCTCCATTATTGGATTCAACACAGCATTAAAGTCACCAGCTACTGTAAGTTCTGAGGTTGGCAGGTTGCTCAGTGAAGAGAAACTTTTATGAAGCACCATCTTGTTAGGACCATTGCAATGTAGATACTACAAACTGGCCTTCTGGATCAAAAACTCTATGACTGGATTGTGATTAGGTTTCATATTTTATGGTATATTGCATAGTTGCATTTATGCAGCCAAAGAGTTTTCATCATTTTACCATTTTCAAGCATAAAAGCTGTCTATCAATATAGAGTTTACTGCTTTCATTTACCCCAGAAAATTAATTGTGTGCATCTGGACGTAGCGTTTCCTCACTCAACCAAGTAACTTCCTCAGTCTCAGCTGACTGCAGGTTTCCCCAGACTTGTAAACAGCAGATTTGCATAATGACTGAAACTAGCACCACTGAATACACAATGGACCGTGACATCAATTTCATGATAATTAATATACAAATTGTCATGACCATTAATCAAGGACCATTCACAGAAAGTTGGAAAATAACAAAGTTGAAAAAAAGTATTTGTAGGGGAGACCGGGGATAGTTGTAACATTTTTGACATTTCTGTCTGTAAATTGGAGCTCTTTTAAGGTAGTGGATTCAAAATGTAATGCAAAGTATTTACATGTCTCGGCTATTAAATAGTGCAGCTATTTTCTCTGCAGCACAATTACCCATTGCATGGTATGGTCTCAAACACAAAGAGTGAAATGTTACAATTTACCCCATAGTCTAGGTTAGTTGTAACATATCCTGGGGTGAAATGTAACACAATGAAATAAGGGTACTAACAAAACATTAACATGTAATATTTTTTATTCAACACATGAATGCACTTAGAGCCATTTATGTAGCTGTGTGTGTGTGTGTGTGACAGAATGGAGAAATCTAGCTTTTGAACATATGTCAACCCCCCCAAAGAAGACAAATTATGGAATTTTCTGCAACTGAATATTTCATTAATTTTGGTTGGTCTTCCTTGAGTTTGGCCTCATTGGCTCAGTGGGAATTATAACCTACAACTCTTGCACCAATTTTGAACATAACAATGAAGCTGAAAAAATGTAGTTGTTCACCAGCATCGCAATTCCATTGTGATGTCCATGAGACGAATTACTTTTTTTCATGGCTTACCTTGGTGTGGTTTGCAAAGTGCTTCAGAAAGATGAGGAAATCTGTTTCTTGCACCCATCCTGATTTATTTCCACTACCAATACTTCCTACTGGTCCATCTCTGACACAGTGGTCTGCATAATGTATGTCTGGGAACACAAACAGTGGAGGAATTGTGTTGCCAATGGCATTAACCGCATATACAAAGGTGACCAGTGAACCTCTCTCTGCTGATGTCGTTGCCCCAACTTGTTTAATATAAGTTAAAGTAATAGTGTGGTAAGTTGTAACATCTGCATTATTGTTACAACTGACCCAGACTCCTATAGCCATGAACTAGCTAACATTACAGCCAACGGCTAAAACATTAGCACTAAAGATCTACACAGAATATATCCCCATAGACATACAAATAACATAATTTAAGTTTGATGAGTTTAACTGCAAAGCAGATAATGCTATTAGAAATTGAAATAAAGTAGAAAAACTTACTTTTTGCCATACAAATGACTTTTTTTCGTGTTAAATTGTCTGTGTTTGACAAAATGTGCTGATTTTTCACATGTGATAGCAGAACTGAGTTGGGCATGCACAGGATGAGTCACATCATTTGAAACTTAGCCCTGATTGGAGAAATTGGAAGTGTTACAACTGACCCACGTTACAACTATCCCCGGTCTCCCCTACTTCATTCAGCTGCTTCTGGGTTGTTGAGTTGGTGAATGAGTCAGTTGATCGTTTTGATGATGGAGTCACGAGCGGCTCCGTTAGTTTTTCGTTCTTTATCATTGTGAATAATTGTTCGGAGTAGGAATCGATATAATAGTCCAGCTCCTCGGGGTTGAAACCTTGATAATGTAGAGAGACATGTAGTTGGCTCAGTAGTCACTTTGTTTACTTTCCACAAACAGGTCGTAGCCATGTTGGATCACGCAGAGTCTCGTGAGAACTGAGGTTCACGTCGTCGTTGCGCTTCTGCTCCTTTGGATTGGGCAGACTAGGCGACTCAGTGGCACAATGCTGCCATCTGCTGTTATTATTATCCAAGACGGGCATTTTTTTCTGCTGTATTGTGAAGTGATCATGTGAAGTAAGACTTGCTCGTTTTTCCATGAGCTTTGAAATCGTTCATTTATAAACATATTTGTAGTTTCTGTTTCTGATTAATAAAATGCTGTTCTGTTCTCCATCAATCTCTCATTTAACCACATTTCAAGAAATCTAAACGACTTGGCTTACTCAAGAGTCTTTTCACATATTTTAGATGTTTGTCTGGCAAACATCAGGTCAGGTCTTTTCCTTTCTTTTCCTTTTTTAATCAGCGGATATTTTAAAACCCAATCATTAGCCCACATTCTGCAAAGCCTTTTGAATTTAGTAGAACATATACACAAGATTTCTTCCTTATTTCCAGATGACAAGAACTTTTTTCCCACTCTACTGAACATTTACAAGGTACTTCCTTGACAAGTACCATTTACAATCTTCAGCTGCTCAGAAAATTTTATACTAACCCTGTTGTTGATTATTGGAGCATAGATGACTTTGTCTTTTGACAGTACATCTCATCTACTGGCTAATGCCAGTTCTGTCGATGCAAATGTAATGTCAGTAGAGGTCGACATTGCTGCGCCTGCACTAAATCATGCTGCTCATCCATCATTTGAGAATTCCATTCCTAATAGTTACACAGCCTCCAACTGAGGTCACCGCATCTTTTCAATCACCTTTGTATTCAGAGATTAAAAAACATGGGCATGAAAATAAACCTCATACAAAACCTAAAAAACAAAAAAAAGTACAAAAGTACAAAAGTACAAAAACCCTGGGACCATGAAAGCAAGTTCATTTTAGTCATAACCGGTATTCTGCTAAGAGAAACATAAATTAGTGGCTCAAAAAATAGCAGTCACAATTAAGACGCTATTAATGTAATAACCACTATAATACCGTTGAAGTGCAGGTTTTATGTGTTCTTCTCTCAAACCATGTAGCATTTCCTTCTTATATACTTCTATTTATATCCTGTCCCTCCTGGACACTCCCAATGGAAATCTTAACACCGCCACCTTGTCCATCTCTAGCTATGCCTCCTATGGGCCTTGTTCTTGACCTCATGATGCTTTCCATCAAGGTAAAAGAGTGGCTGGTTAATTATTTATTTGTTGCACTATTTAAATACATGTCTAGGTTTTGACAACTAGATCTTAACAGACTAACGAAGAGTTTTACCTTAGTCAGTTTCAAAGCAACTTCAACAGAACCAGGGTATAATCTGATTTCACTTATTCCAGTCAAAATAACCACTGTGGTTATCAGCTTATTAAGTCAGTGAGGATTTCATAATGTAGGTACAAACCCATTCGTATGAAACGGGCACCTTTAGCAAGAGCTGACCAAGCATTAATAAGAATAAATCTACAGGCAACAAAGGAGCTAGTTTTACAAAGAAAGACAAAAAATATAATATTAATCTAATAGTTAACATATAATACAGCCTGAAAGCAACACAGCAAAAACGAGGGTATGCCAACACTACCATGAGTATGTGTATATCTGAACCTGTGTGTAATTTTGATTGATTATGGAAAATCCATAATAAATACATATGTGGGTTTTTTTTAAAGTCATTAAAATATTACATTACAATATGTTGTTATATTACAGTTTTGTCTCCCTCTGTAGAATCAGTTGCCATTACATATTTGAGACTGATAATATGCTGCAAACGCAAAAGTTAGATTGATAAACAATTAATAGGAATTGTAAATATATTATTTTTCATTATAAAGTGATTCTGTATATTATTTTATCAGTAGTACAGATTTTTTGCAGGTACTATCTGTAAAATAAATCGGGCTATCAAATGACTTTAACCTCTTTCTGCTTCGTCAATTTACCGTAAACCTGAGATAAACGACTCCCCCACAATTTCCGCACAATTTTAATAACGATAAAAAGCTTACATGTACTGTGATTATCACGCAATTTGACTTCACCCTTTCTTTCACCTTTTCTTGGGAATCTTCAAAGACGTTAATTCGGCTTAAATGAGCTCAGTGTGTGCACATCAGATTGACAACAACGTCTTTTACTGATATTACGGTTCATGTTGCCAGGGAGTGACTGAGCCGTAGTCATACAGACACAATAGAGCTGCAGTCACCATGTATATAGCAAGTGTTTGTATTTGAAATTATTAGAGCAATATGTAGCATCTCTCAAATTCTGTGAGTGCACTTTCGAAGCGTTGTTCTGGGGCTATTATCAGTGAGCTCTGATGCCTTTGCACTAACAAGCTAGCTTCGTTAGACAGGAGAGTGGCCGTGCAGTGCACCGTTAGCTAGCTTTAGCCAGTTTGATAACAGCTGCCTTGCCAGTTTTTACTATGGAGTTTCCTTTTGACATAAACCAATTATTCTCCGAGAGGATCTCTGTCTTGGACCAGACCTTGGTTGCAGGCCGCAAATCTGCAGGAAGGCAAGTTTCAAAGGTTTTCAAATCCTTTTAATAGTATTTTACAGTTTTTACAGTCAGACACTCGGTTCAGTTCAGGTTTTCAATTCAGGCTTACATAGCACAATACCAAAAATATACAGGCTCAAATATGTACTTAAACTTACTCAAATATTCTAATGTGGTTCTACAATATCTTTTTAAGTTTACACGGCCAAGGCTTATTAACTTTTCATTGGTGATCATGATTGAGTCCCACTTTTCCTCCATAAGAAAGATTTGATTGACAGCACTCATTGGACCCCAGGGATCTCAGTAAAGACGAAAGAATCGTAGATTTACACAAGTTGGGGAGATCTGTTGGAGCCAAGTCTAAACAACTGCAGATTCTGAGATCACCAAGTCAAACAATTGCACATAAGTACAAGTATTTGGGAAACTATCACCGTCAGATGACAGGAAATTGCTTAGTTGTTCAGCAATGTGCCCCACACAAGGTGCACTAAGGCTTAAGCTTGCCAGGATGTGACTGGTCTTAACGACTGCTCTTTTTGACCAGTCAGGCGTCTTCAGACTACAAGTCACATTCTACATCATGACATGCCTATAATGGATGTATGTAAACTTCTGACCTCAACTGTAAGCAGAACCATGTATAATGCAAATAGAACATAAATCACACATCTGTGACCTCTTGGGCTGATCTACATGGCCCTATGTGAAAAAGCAAGGAGCCAGGGACACTGCCCCCTTTTTTTTTTTTAGAAAAAATAAACATGAATGAACAGAAGTGGCCTGTTTAGACAGGAAAACAGACTTTTATCATGCCTGTGGGCCATCTGGTATCCTGCATTTAGATGTACTGTGAGAAGGAGGTAGAGTGTCTGGAATATAAAAAGTGAAAATGAGCCTCTTATCTAATAATATTCTGCTCTGCGATTTCTTTGTAGGCCAGATCTTCAAGCTCACATAGCCACAGTTATTGATGAACTTGGGAGGGCCTCAGCAAGGGTGAGTCTGTGTAGTCCGCTTACTTTTCTGTGTAAAGACACATGTCAAAAGGGAATATTCTGCTATTTTTATTATCTGCCATATCTATGTTACTATTTTCCTTTTAGTCAAAAGCTCAGGATTCAGACTGCTCTGAACAGTTGCTTTCCTTTTTTTATTTTTAGAACAAGCTAATGTTAGCTCTTTATGAATTTCTTTACACTATCATCTTCTAAACAAGTCAAACTTTTATGTTTGTGTGTACACTGTCTACTGAAGTAACATTGCAGTGTATCGCCTGACATGTCCAGTCAAAATCACAATGCACAGTTGATTGGTGACATCGAAATATTGCTATTTATGTTACCTTCAGTATTTCTTGAGTTCAGTTGGGACATGAAATAATCTTATGTGACTGTTAACTGAAACACTAAATTCACTTATGTCACTCAATAGCAGATAATGAGTGTATTAATACAGAAAAAGCATTCTGCTGTAATGTTTGTTTCAGCCAGTCTGTGTGTTATTGACTCTATATATCTCAGATCAGATTCAGGTAAGCTCAAGCAGATGGATTAGAGAAGCTCCCATTTCCAATCAAGAACAATAACCCAGTTCACGCCCTCATATATTTAATGGAATTGTAATTATGCAGTTTTGGTCACAATATCATCATTTTAAGTGTTTTAAAGCAAGTCCAGTATGAATTTTGCTGGATGACTGCAAGTATTATTTTGTTGAAAGCACCCATCATTCGCATACACTGTAAGGCCTGTTATAGCTGTGCATTGTCCATTTTACATATTTTTTTTACTAAAGATGAGTAGCAGCAGGAATTGGAATCCGAATGCCTCACTTGCATACTTAGTTGACGCCCAACTCACATTGTGTCTGCTGTCAGTGGTCTTTTTTTATGCACTCTCTCTTGTCTTATGTGGCTTTTAAAAGGGAATAAATATGGTAATGTCTAACTAGATAGTTTCATTCTTTTACCCACTAAAGTAGTTTCGCTTTGCTGCTTTGATTCACTTTTCACAATAATCTCCATTATGGCCACTCAGTTCATAGTTCATCCTTTGTTTAGCTCCTGTCCTTTGTTTTTTGTTAAGGCCAACAGTCCCTTTAGGACAGCTTCCATCTGACTGGCTGCCCAAACAGAAGGTTTGTAGAGCAAATGGGGGTAAGAGGCAGTGTCTGTGTCAGATATGAGCATCTTTGGAAGCAGATCTGCTCATTTTGACATGATACAATAGGGTGGAAAGCATACAAAGAAGTGTGAAGCTTCAGTATTTGGCTTAGAGGGTTGGCTTGCTGGTATGCTGACATGTAATTTAAATCTAAGCATCCACCGCTGGAATGGTATGACAGAAAGTTTCTCTTTAAATTGGTTGAACTTGTTCTCTAATGCAAAATTTGGGGAGTTATAAAAATGTGAATGTTATTCCAAGACTTTATGTATTATTACATAATCGGTATGTTCCTGAAATTGATTTTGTTATTTTCACAGATCTTCAAAGATGATTTTTTTTGTTTGTTTTGTTTGTTTGTTTTTTAGTTTTTTGTTCTTAACTTCATAGTTAGAGCTAGCAAGTTAATCTGAACTACTTAAGCTGGTATATTTTTCCACTAATTGTGACCAATTAGTGGTTTTCCTTTTGGTCACTGAAATTTTTGCTTTTTGCGCAATTTTCTGTTTCCTTCTTTTTGTTTTGATGTTGTCTTTGGACATTTAGTTTAAATGAATCAACACTGAGTCTAACGTACTAACTATCAGCATTCTTGAAGCAGAGGCCGCAGCAAACTTCCACACCATTAATCAACCAAAGACCAAGATTTAATTGATTCGAAAGCCAGATGCTTAGCCTTGTCCACCCTAGCTGGACAACTCAAAAAACAGTCTTATTTGTTATAAACCATTGTCCTCCTGGGCCTTACACGGAGTTTCTGTCTGATTTCGCAGACTTTTTATCCGATTTAGTACTCCTCTCGGATAAAACGATTATTGCAGGTGATTTTAACATCCAAAGGAAAGCCTTGACATTTAATCTGTTATTGGACTCAACTGGCTTCTTTCAAAATGTGAAAGAACCCACCCAACACTTTAATCACACTCTAGATCTTGTTTTAACACATGGCATAGAAACTGAACATTTAACAGTGTTTCCCAAAAAGCCTCTCTTGTCTCATGTTTTCCTAATAACAATTATTGATGATAATAATAATAATAATAATAATAGACAATAATGATTACACAGTAGTGGGGAGTAAATTTCATCACTGTAGATGAGATGAGATAGCCTTTATTTGTCAGTTGCAGTTGCCCACAACCAAGATGACAGACCTTGCCAACCGCACATACAATACACAAACATCACATTGGGGAGACAGGTCAGGGTAGGTGTAACACAAAAGGATAATACAGGAATGCACAGATATCAACACACCATAGCACAATAAAACACAGACAAGCAACATGTGAGAGTATTCCAGTGTGTACAGCTGATCTGGGACCGCTGCAATCTTCGATTACGCCTCCAGCTGATCCAGTGTCCACATCGGATGTGAGGATGCGTTGGATCCGGGGTAGGGAGGGTGATAGTGAGGGCGTATCAGTGTACATGTTTCGTGCGTGTATCCTGTGTTCAGCTGAGAGAAAGTGTCACCACACCCGGTTAAGCATCAGTCAACAGTCTCCAGTGGACCCAGGTGGCCTTGAAGGAGGGACAAAGAGTTCTGACAACAATCCTGTTATCATGGGAAGAATTTGTTGTTCCAGTCAGCTTCAACCTTGGCAGGCCTTCAGCTGGCGCCAGGGGAGCCGCATGAGTGAAGATCGTGAATGTTTGGGTTTAGTGTGAACAACTGCATCCAATTTTTACAGTTGGTCTAATGTCCATCACTGGTCACCAGTTCTCTCAATTTCCGTTGTTCTTCTCCAAGATCTTATCCATATTGCGTTCAAAACACAGTCTGAGTACTCACAGCCCTGCCAATCGTCTATCATGGCGGCCAGCCTTATGGGATTTTGAACAGCTGTAGCCGCCTCCTGTTCTTCGATAAACCAGGTCCAAGTTAGCTCCAATCAGCCCGAACTCTGTTATCATGGTTCCAAATTGGTAGATGTTGTTCATTGTCCTCCATCGAGAGTGTCGCCAGACACACGACGCAACCGACCATCGAGTATCCGGCAGGAAACGTCTCCGCAGGACAATCGGGCTCTCCCAAGCCTAGCAGGGTGTCAATCCCATTACAGGACCAGTTGATAAAATCCATAATTCTTTAGGTTTTAGAGAACAAGACTGGGAAACTCTTTGAGGGTTAGAGCTAGACGAGACTAGACAAACACATAGAAGCAGCAGCAGGGAAGATAAGGGAGGGAGAGGGGAAAGATGTGTCCGCCTCCTCCGAGAGCCAAAGAGGTCTTTCTGAAAGTGCTGTAACTAGGTTTAAGAATAGAATTCACTTACTGTTATTGTCTTCAGTCCGTCCCTTGTACTAAAAAAGAGCAGAGCAGCTACCTGAACGCTACTCCAACAGAGATCAATTATTTTGTTAATAATTTTACCTCTCTACATATGACTTAGGATACTGTAGCTCCTGTAAAAAAAGAGAGCCTCAGAAATACATGACTCCTAGTATAACTCTCAAATGTGCAGATTAAAGCAGATAACTCGTAAGAGGAAACGGCATATCACAAATTTAGAAGATCCCCATTTAGCCTGGAAAAATAGTTTGCTGCTATATAAAAAAGCCCTCCATAAAGGTAGAACATCTTACTATTCTTCACTGATTGAAGAAAATAAGAACAACCCCAGGTTTCTCTACTGCACTGTAGCCAGGCTGACAAAAAGTCAGAGCACCATTGAGCCAACCATCCCTTTAATGTTAACTATTAATGACTTGATGAATTTCTTCACAAATACAGTTTTAACCACTAGAGAAAAAAAATGCTCATAATCATCTCACAGCTGTAGCATTATCTACAGCTACTTTCAGTACCACTGATATTTATTCAGACTCTTTTTCTCCAATCGATCTTTATGAGCTAACTTCAGTAAATGCCTCTGCCGAACCACCAACGTGTCTTTTAGACCCCATTCCTACAAAACTGCTCAAAGAAGTCCTGCCATT